GCCTCTGGTTAGATTCTAAATGGGTTCCAGCTCTGACAAAGAAGTTTCCCTTAGTATTCACAATTACGTCCAGAGATTTCATCACCTCTTGAGCTTTTCTCAGTCTCTCTGCCTCACCAATTTCCCATCTCTTTTCAGATCTCATCAGGAAACTCAGCTCATCCCCACTGCTTAAAGCTCTTAATTTCTCTCTCCCTTTTACCATTATTGCTTAGCCGCAATGGCATTATCTAATTCTACAAAGCCTTTTGAATTACCATAGTTCCTATGAAAGGCACAATACGAAAACTGTAAGTATTGTACTACACAGTGTTCTATCTTTGTCTAGACTCTTACTTGAAGTCCACTTAGTTGTCTGTTCACCAAGACAGTCAATCTGTAATGAAACTTCTGTGGGGCTGGTTCATAGGCAAATTAGCATGTTCATCCCACCAAATCAGGCCACAGAAGTGAACCCTCCCTGCCATACACCATTTATTGTGAACAAAGCCCTCTGTTCTGCATGCAGAATGTCCTGGGTTCAACCCCCAGTATCTCCAGGTGAGAGTGGGGAAACCCCAACTGAAGCCCTGAGCAGCTGCTGCCATTCAGTGCAGACAATACTGAATTAATGGACCGATGGTTCCTGTCTTTTATCCAGATTGAGTTCATTGCAATTCATGGCTCCATTGGACCAGCAAGGTACTGTGGGCAGCACTTAGTTCCTCAGGCCCAAGGAAAGGCGTTTTAATATTTAAGGGTTTATGCATGCAGGGAGAAAAAGGTAGATTCCGGTGTGCTGTTTAATTTGGGCATGTTTTGTCCTACACATGCAGCTAGCAAAGCATGGGAGAATGAGTCAGCAAGTATGTGAGAATGACTCAGCACAATCTACAGTGGAAATGCTGTTGCGTTTAAGGCAAGTTTGTGCCTTTGGCCAGAGCGCAGCCTGTATCATGGAAGGAAAAACTGTATCTACAACTGTATGTAGCTGAAATGGCCTTATACTGTCAGTAAAGCAACTGACCCTTCCTAGAACCGTTTGGTGTCTCTCTGTTCTTTGGGCACACTCCGGTGGCATTAAGGTGGGCGCTCTGCACATGCCCCAACTAAGCGTCCATGCGGGTGGACTTGCACTACGGTCCTGGTGCTGTAGAGGCTAGTTCAGCAAGTTGCCTGTCAGCCTCAGACTGCATAATGCCACCCCCCACCCCCACCCCCCGATCACTGGCATCAGGTTCAGAGCCAGGAAGCCTGATTGGCTCCTTAGCTCATAGCACTGCAGCCTCCAAGTTGGTGCCCTGGTCCCTGATGAACTCCACGCATGATGAGATTACACAGCGCCCCTGTGCAGCATTAGTCTGTTGGCCAGTTACTTGCAATATACCCCCAAGTGGGGACAATCGGTGGGAGGGGATCCTCCCTGGGGTGTTTAAATTCCCCTGCATTGGACTCTGACCATGCCCCCTCCTCTTGACCAACTGTTCCTCTGCTTTACTGGGAGCGGCCGCTGAGACCACATAACACCGGTCTTGAAAGACCTCCATTGGCTCCCAGGATGTTTCCGAGCACAATTCAAAGTGTTGGTGCTGACCTTTAAAGCCCTAAACGGCCTCGGTCCAGTATATCTGAAGGAGCTTCTCCACCCCCATTGTTCTACCCGAACACTGAGGTCCAGCGCCGAGGGCCTTCTGGCGGTTCCCTCACTGCGAGGAGCCAAGTTACAGGGAACCAGGCAGAGGGCCTTCTCGGTAGTGGCGCCCTCCCTGTGGAACGCCCTCCCACCAGATGTCAAAGAGAACAACAACTACCAGACTTTTAGAAGACATCTGAAGGCAGCCCTGTTTAGGGAAGCTTTTAATGTTTGATGTATTATGGTATTTTAATATTTTTTGGAAGCCCTCCAGAGTGGCTGGGGAAGCCCAGCCAGATGGGCGGGGTATAAATTATTATTATTATTATTATTATTATTATTATTATTATTAAGCAGACCCATTGGAATGAATGGACGTGGCTAAGTTAGGTCCATTAATTTCAATTGGCAATGGACGGCTGTTGGGCCGGCCAGCCAGCCAGCCACAGCACCAATGCGTGACATTAGCAGCAGGAACCAGGGCTCACAACCAGGGTCAGGGCTGAGCCATGGGCAGTGGTCCAAGGTGAGGCAGGAGCCGGGAACCAGAAGCCATGGAACAAGCCAGAAGTTCAGGACTGTCAAAAACCATGAGGCAGGGGCAAGGAACAAGCCAAAAGTCAGCACTAAGAAGCAAGAAAGGAGTGGGAGCATGACCAGGATCAAAAAGCAATGGAGGCCGTCCCCCACCAACTTTAGTTGGCCCTCGGTCACTCCTCACCTCTGCCCCTTCTTCCTTACAACCTGCCAGCTGCCTCTTCCTCCTTAGTCTTCCATGTTTTCCCCCCTGTAGAACACAGCAGGGAGGAGAATGGGGACAAAACTCAAATTAGTTGACTCTGTTTGTAGTTGGCTCTGGAACTACCTACTGCGGGCACCAGCCACCACTGCTGAGATGCAAGCCTGAAGTCAGGACCCAAGGACACAGGGACACACCAGAGCTCAGGAAGGCCTAGTTGCTCAAGCAAGACCCATCTGGGAAAGGAAGCCACTTGATACTTCTTCCTGTGTAGAAAGAGCCAACTGGCCTTGCTTAGTGGGCAGACTCTTCACTGCGGGAGCTGCTACCAGCAGTTCTGTGGTCCCTACAGGAAGCAGCCACAAAGATTCCTGACACACAATCATCCTTGCCTTCTCCTTGACTATGAACGAGGAACAGGGGCATCCCAGCAAGCTCCAGAAACCCTGCCACAGAAGGGCAGAACAACTGTGTTCATCTGATCTTAGTTCTGCACTATTCAGGTTCAGAAGCTCAATATTTTCGCAGGCATTTTTTTTTTTGTACTTGGCAGGGGACATATTGTTGTCAAGAAATTCCTGAGCAGCGGAATTGTCTTTGTTGTGTTAGCCTTTTTTATTCAAGGACGTTAGCTGAAGTGCACCTCAGGGAGAATGCATGTCCAATAGCTTAAGGGGAAGATGGATGGCCGCTGACTGATGGAGACAACTTTGCAAGCTTTCAGTATAGGCAGGGCTAGTACCTCCACACACACACACACACACACACACACACACACACACCTTTCTTTTCACCTTCCAGTTCCACATGAATGGAATCCCCCAGTTACCCTTGTGTGTCGTGCAGACTTGTAGTCGGCTTCCACTGTTTCCTTTTTTGCCTTCCTCTGACATCCTCTTCCTTTTTCCTATTTCTGCCAGTCCCTTCTCATTCCTCTGCAGGATACAGATGATGCCAGGTGCAGCAGCCAGTACTACTCTTGCTGGGTTTGAGCTCCAAAGCTGAAATGACCCCCGATTATTATTGAACATCAGCCACCTTACAACCAACCTGGCTCCCACCCAAACGGATAGCAATTCCTGCACTAACTGATAGCAACTTCTCTTCAAGCCAATGGAACATGTCCAGAAGATCTCATGCTTCCAGAATCCATCCGCTCTAGAGTCCAGTACCTGAGAGGCAGGAGGTGATGTTACCTGATCCAAACATGTGAGTACAAGTTGGGGAGGCTGAATCAAGTTCTCTGAGGCTGCTCATTTCCCCATGGGTACCCAAATGAGAAAGAGCAGTTCACGGTCATTCAGTGTCTCCACAGTAGCCAGCTCTGATCCAAAGTGCTACTCTTTTACATTCCCTGCAGTTTCATTTGACAAAGCGGACTTTTTAAAAAAAAAATTGAAAAGTTTTTATTGTTAAAATAATTCAGCATTTATACACACATATTACGAATATACAAGCATACAAACATACATTTCATACAATCCTTAAGAATATTCAAACATACCTACATTCAGTACCACAGATAATTCCTTTTCCCATCACCATCCACCACCCCTCACCCCACCTTTGTGTTAGACTTCCAATCTACTCAATTGCAATTTCTTTCCACTTCTATTACTTTCTTTCACACACCTTTAACCTAATTTCATGCTTCTTTTTCTATTACACATTGTTATCCATCTTATTTAGTATTTCAGTATTTAAAACGGAACTTGTTTATTCTAACAGGAGTTCTGATTTTTCAATATGGTTTTGCAAGTATCCTTTAAACACCTTCCAATCCCTGTCTATCTTCTCTTTTGAGATCCTTCCAATTTCTCCCATTGTTTTGGATATATTGTAGTACTCCAATAATTTGGCAAGCCACTCTATTTTTGTCGGTATAGTACCACTTTTCCAATTTTTCGCAATCAATAGCCTTGCTGCTACTGTTGCGTATAAATATAAGGTCTTATCTTCTTCCTTTAGGCTTCCTGGTACTATTCCCAATACAGTTTAGATTTATTGCATTAGCCGAGTGGCCATAGCATGATATACATTGAAATAACAACATAAAATGGGGGTGGAGAGGTAGAGGTAGATATCGTCCTGGGCGAATACTTAAAAAAAAGTGAAAAAAAAAAAAAACTGCTGAGGCTGGAGGAGGACCGTTGAAGGGTCCTTCAGCTCCTCAGATTAGTCCTAACTCGATTGTCCTTGTACAATAAGGCTACTTGGAACTTCGTTCGGTTGTGCGGCGTATCGACTGCAGCTGTGGTGTTAAGGAAGAAGTTAGTGCCGCTTTCCTCTTCATCACACTAAGCAGGAAGTTAGCTGTCATCTCGGTAATCCAACAATCAGAATCCTGCAAAAAGAGGGACACTATCCAAGGCTGGATTGGGAGATGGAACTTATTCACGAGGGGAGTTAAAAACCGAGATCTTTCATCTGTCCAGTTGGGACAGAAGAGCATTACATGTTCCATAGTCTCCAGGGCCGTGTCATTACAGGAGCATGTTCTGTTTGCGATGGGAACTCTGGAATAACGACCCGACAGAACTGCTGTAGGGAAACAGTTGAGACGGGCACAGGTAAAGGCCCTTCGCTTAGTCTCCGAAGAAATTGTGAAGCAGTATAGAGGGATCCCTTCAGGGGGTGGAATAGCTAGGGCTAGGCCTGAACACGGTCCTCTTGCACAAGAAGCTGTGTTGGAGAAGTCAAGTTGCTGTAGTTTCTTTTAATTAGGGGTAGGGCCACCGGGCTGATACACTCTAAGTTAAGAACAGTTTTACAATTCAAATTGAGAAGAGAGCGGAATTTGAGGTTAATTGTAGTTTTCCAAGGGGAATTATGAATATCTCTTAGGATCAGATTGGAAAAGCCACCTCTAATTCGAGCATCCGATGCTAATAGGTGGAAGGTGTAGGAAATGGCTCGACTCCATGCTCGTCTAACAATTGAAGGCTGGGCGAACTCGAGTCGTAGGGCTGCACCTGAGACACATCTCGGGACGCCGGAAAGAGATCTCAGAAACATATGAAGTGGGCGATCCAGGTTACCTGATATTGCTGTAGTCCATACTTCGCATCCATATAATAATTTAGGGACGACTTTGGCATTAAATATTTGAATTGCTGCTGGAAGGTGTTTGCCGCCCTTCTGGTGGTAAAATCGGACAATGGCGTTAGAGGTCGTGGTTGCAGCGAGAAAGGCAGATTGTAGATGGGTGGTCCAGGAGAGATTATAGGTGAATATTAATCCTAGATATTTAAAGGCTTTTACCTTTTCTAAGTAGCCACCTGTGATCTTAAGCGGCTCCAACTTGAGTTTGCGGGAACGAGTGAAGTGGAGGACTTTCGATTTTTTATAATTAATATTAAGAGCTTCCGCCTTACAATAGGCGATAAATGCATTAACTGCATTTGCTAGGTCCGCAACTGTTCTGGATAAGATGACGGCATCATCAGCATAGAAAAGGGAAGCAACGGGGTGGCCTGCTAAGTGAGGAGGATACTTAGATGCTAGCTTCAAAGTGGAAATTGCATCATGAAGATAGAGATTAAACAGTAAAGGGGCCAAGAGACAACCTTGTCGGACGCCCTTGGCCGTTGGAAATGGAGTAGTGGGGAGCCGTTAGGACCAGTTCGGACGCGAGCTGTGGTGTTTGAATAAAGGGAGATAATTAGGGAGAGGAGGTGCGGATCAATTCCCAGATGGGCAAGTTTGGACCATAATCTCTGCCTAGGAATGGAATCAAAGGCGGCCTCCAGGTCCATGAAAGCGGCAAATAGGTGGCCTTGCCTTGGAGCAGTGTATTTACTGGCAAGGTGATAGAGAGTTAGACAATGGTCCATGGTTGACGCTGACTTTCGGAAACCAATCTGTTCTAGCGGTAGAATGTTCCTCTCCTGGACCCATGAGAGAAGTTCCTCCAGTAAAACAGCGGCAAATATTTTCCCCGGGATGGATAATAAGCTGATGGGGCGATAGTTCCTAGGGATGTTTGGCTGGCCGCCTTTGAAGATCGGAACTATTATAGCTTCTCTCCAGGAGTCAGGGATGTCTAGGGCGGAGGAGATAGCGGTGAATACAGGAGTCAGGTGTTCGCTCCACCAAAGAGGATCAGTCAGGAAAAGGTCCAACGGGACCATGTCTGGGCCGGGGCCTTATTCCTTTGCATTGACATTATGATGTTGAAAATGCGAGTTGAGGTAAAGTTTATTGAAGAAGTGGGACTAAGAGAGCAGGAACTGAGGTCCGACGGGGATTGAAGGAGATCTGTAAGATGGTTTGGAGAAGCGAAACTAGTTGAATAATAGGCAATCCATTCATCAGCGGAAATCTGGGTAGCTGGATTGAATGGTGCCGAAGGTCTAACTAGGCGCCAGAAGGAGCGGGAGTCATGCCTCTCTACAGCCGAACGAAGAGTGGACCAAGCCTCAAGGATGTGCTGCTGTTTCTTGCAATGAATCATGTTTCTATATGTCCTTTTAATATCTATGAGCTTTGCACGGGTTTGGGGGTCGTTGGAAGATTTGATGATTCTGACCATTTTCCTAATTCGCCTTCTTAGGGCTTTACATTCCTTGTCAAACCAGGGCGATTCAGAGAAGAGGCGTTGGTAAGTAGGCGAGGTGGTGGTTATGTAAGTTGTTGAGAAAGCATCAAGTAATTTCCGGTATTGGTCAGCGGGCAGGATTGGATCAGAGGGAACTGCAGACATATCAAATGATTTTTGTATGTCCAGGGCAAGAGAGGAGCTGAGGCTTGTCCATTTCTTTGTTTTGTATACAGGGTGGCTTTGTACCATGGTTCTATAGTTTGAGGGGACTGGAAGTGGCTCTATTAGGTTTAACATTAGAGTCAATGGAAGGTGGTCACCACCAAAATATTCAGCCACTTCCATTTTTGTAGAAATTGAGAATAGCTCCGGCGTCAATAAAATGTAGTCGACAACACTGGTTCCCGGGAAGTGATGCACGTTAATTGCTGCGAGGACAAGGGAGTAATGTTACCATTTGCGATGCAGAGATCGTTTTCCATGGCCAGTTGGGCCATCAGCCTCCCGACGCATTTGTTATAGGATCAAGAGAGCATCTGTTTCCCCAGGGGGGCTGCAGGGGATTGTCCAGGAGTGCTGCGGGAGATATTATATCATCGTCGTTGGGACCTATTCTTGCATTAAAGTCGCCTAAGAGGATTTGAGGGAGTCCTGGGTTAGTTGTTTGAAGATCATGGAGCCAAGACGAAAGTTCAGACCACCTTTCATTGCGGTCGAAATCATTAATTGCTGGGGGCAGATATACTGTAGTTATCAACCATGGGCTTTTGGTCTTTGGGAGATGAATCTTTATGGTGAGAAAGTAAGGGGAAGATTTAATTTCCTCGCAAATAGTGAGGGATAAGCTGGTTGAAATAAGACAGGCGAGGCCAACTTGGGGGCGACCCCTGTTGGTTAGTTTACGAGCACAGGAGCTAAAGGAGCAATAATTTGGGAGAACAATACTTTGTTGGGACCAGGTCTCTTGGAGGCATACAATGTCGAAAGAAGAGATGAAATTCATTGCTTCAGGATCCATTTGCTTTGTCGCCCAGCCGTTAACATTCCAGGAGACAATTTTAAGGCTCTGGGGTGGGTTGGGTGCGTCTTTCAAGGAAACAACTGCTTTTGCTTGATTTGTGAGTGAGGGTTGAGTCTGTTCATATCTAGTGATGTCGGATTTCCGCGGAGATAGGGAGCCGGCTGGTGTTTGTCTCTGGTCTGATCTTTGTCAATTATTTCCCAAGGTGCTTTTAGGGATTACTTTTATGAGCCGGCCCATTGCTCTCCATACATGGCAAACTAGCCAAATGTTCTATAGTTTCGGCTGTTGACTGTTGAATACTGACATTAGTGGTCACCGGGCCTTTGAAGTGTGTTATCTCTTTCCGTAGGTATTTTTCCGGAACCTGATTGTGGCCTAATTCCGCCTCATCTAGATACCTCAGCTTGTCCCAAGAGCCTGGTGAGTTCACCTTCGGGATGGTTCTCCTTATTGGAGGTGGTGTAGTGTTCTCTTCAGTGTGCTGGGCTTCCTTAATTGGGGGTAAATTAATCTCAGCCATTGTCTGAAGGTAACATGGCCGACAGGCCGCTGGGTTTTGTTCTTGTGTAGGGTTCAAATTATAGGAAGTCTGGTCCTTTTTATGGGCGTCCATATTGATTTCCTTGTTTATATCTCTCCCAGCCAGCTTAGTTCTTAGCATATCCAATCTTTCTAATATTTCAGCTTGTATTGGAGATGGAAAATGGCAAAATTGCCTAATTAAGGTATTTTCTTCCGCGGAAAAAAGATCCTCATCTTCATTCTCTTGAAGTTGCAGGTCTTGCAGGTGGGCATCTTTCCTTTTTAATTTTTGAAGCTCTCGTTTCTGGAGACCAGGCCGGGTTTTGGGAGGTTGTTTCTCCTTACTAGGGTTTGCGTGCTTGGCTTCCAGAAGGGGATTCGGTGGTGCCTTGTTTTCAAAAAATCTGAGAATTTTTATCTGGGCCTTTAAGAATATATATCTTGATCTGTAGATAAACTTGGCCAGGTTCTGGTCTCTAAATGTGATCATTGCTCTCATTGAACAACCATCATGATGCAAATAATCTACAGAAATAATGTCATATGGCTTTACTGCTCCTGGCAATATATCATTCAGAACGTTCAAGGAGCTCATTCTTCGTTCTTTCCCTGTAAGGAAACCCTTTGATTTTGGGAAGTTTGTAAATACTAATATTGAGGGATTTAAAATCAGGTTCCAACATCTTGCCTGAGTAAAGGTTTGCCCATCTTGTATAGTGTTGTCATCGCGATTGGGCATTGCATCGTCCCCGTTTCCCGATTTGCTAAGCGGTTTGCTGCCTTCATTGTTAGGGACCACTTCTCCCCCAGAATCTGGCTCACTGAGTGAACTGTTACCAGAACTCTGGGACGTTGCTTCCGTCCTCCCACTTAGTTCTAAACTCTGGTTCAGAGATGCCACCTTAGCCATTAGCTTTGGCGATTGCTTCTTTTTCCCCTTCCTGCCATTCTCTTTTTATCTCGTGCAGCAGATTTATTTGAGTCCAATGGGAGTAGATTAAATAATTTCTGCCATTGTTTATGTCGGCTTATCTTTATTTTCCTTGTTGTTTTAATGTTCTTAGTTTTCTTTTCCCGGACTTTTGATCTATTTTTTGCAATTTCTTGGTTGTTACTGCTTGTCTCATCTTCACTAGTTCATCTGGGTTATGCACAAGTTCATCTGGTTTATGCACTTGGGGTGCATCGGTTGCTGTTGTCTCTTTTGGTTGGGGAATAAAATTTTCCACAAGGGTCAGCAATAACCCATTTGTTATTGTCAAGTAATTTTTATGTTGGAAAGGTCTATATTTATATCTTGGAAATGGGCCTGAAGATGGCCATCACTCAGTTCAGTTTGAGTATATTTGGAAGTGGGCGCCTGGTCTTGGTGGCATGTTGTTAATTCTGCCAGGGGCCGCTGGTTATAGGTGACAGAAATATTTTCCACAAGTTTCTCAGCTAGAACTAGCTCTTGCGCCAGGCTTCTTGGGGAATTTGTGTTTCCAGAGTTGTGTTGAAGCTCTTTGAAGTAATGTGACCGGTCAAGATAAGTAAGGGGGAGAGGAGTGACTTCGTCAATAATTGGTTCAATTTGTTCACTCATGCATTCCTCCCTCTTGGGGAAGTAATTTATAATTTTACTTTGTCTCTTTCCAGGTCCCGGGGGGCTAAGTGGCGTATCTGGCAAGATACCCAACTCCTTACATAACTTTCTAGTGAGGACCATGTTGGATAGTTGTCTTCCTATTAGAAAACCAGTTGTCCCCCAGTGTTTCTGCCTAATTAGCAGGGCCAATGGATGAGTAGGGATGAATCTGCAGCTTTCTCCTGCTTAGCTCATCAGCGAGCGCTG